GCGGAACGGAGAAGGGAAGCGGATTAGGAGTCAGACCTGGTTCCATTCCTGGCTCTGATTTGCCCAAGGTCACTGGCACTGCTTTCCCCCTCCTATCTCATGGTTACTTGGTCCAGCCATGTGCACAGATGAATAGTTCCATTACACCCTCAAACAGCTCAGTGTTGTCTTTCTTCTTGTGTGTGGCATGGAAAAAATCCGGTAAATGCAAGCCCATTGGTAAAGGACGTGTTTATCCTAGACCTGGCCCATTTTCACCCTTCCCTCCACCCTTGCAATGGCCTAGATTGATTGCACAGATCAAAGCACAATGGCATATTTTTTTGGTGAGACAGCAAATAAACTTTAAGAGCATTCTAGCTGTTCCACAAGTTAATTATTGCCAGGTTAGAATCTCGCTCTGTAGAGTAGTTTATCTTTGGTCTTGCGTGTCTTTGTTTTCTGAAACACCTCTGCGATAGTGAAACCCAGCTAAGATAAGGGAGTAACTAGACTGGATGAACCTTGGAGGCTGAAGGCTTTGGATGAGACCCAAAATTGTGACATCCCCATTTTAGCAGGTGGGGAAACTGAGGCAGAGCGGTGACACAACTTGATCAAGGGCACACAGCTAGTTGGTGGCAGTTCTGGGAACAGAATTTTGGGGTGAGTGTGTGTGTGTGTGAATTGCACTGGACAAATCTCCCTAAGAGATAGATGTTATTCATATAGCGTGGCTTTGGGAGGAGGGGGAGATTGAAGGGTTTTTGTGAATGAGTTGTACCAAGCCTGCTGTTCTCCTCTCTCAATTAGTCACTTCTGCCAGCACCAAGAGACAAGAGCATGGCTCTGGTGAGCTGTAGTATTTGTTAGATATGACACCGGGAATGCGGGAATGACATTGCAGTCCCACAGTCTCTCTGGGCACTGAGCGTGTCCAAAATCACGCGTGGCACCAGAGACGAGTCCAAGGCTCTGATTCTGAACTTTCCCACAGCCTGGGTTGTCCAAGTCTGGAGTCCCATCCATAACCAAAACATTTTCTCACTGCCATGCTTTACCCAGCGTGGTGGAGATTTCTGTGCCCAACACACCAGAAATTAGTTTGTGGGACAGCCAGGAGAAACTGGGACCAGCCCTCTGATGGTTGCCCTCTCCCGGGGGCTGTATCCTACCCTGGCTGGAATTTGAAGAGACACAACTAAATTGCTGTCGTAAATGTCTACGGTCCTCCAGGAGAAAGCTAATCCTCACCCTTTTCTCTCTCCCTAGGGGAGGATGCCAGTCGCTGCCTGGCTGCTCTGTTTAGCTGGCCAAGAATTGCCAACGTACCATGACCATGTTAACATGTGTGCCCGCTCTAGTCGACAGCGGGGAGCGAAAAAGGACCATCCGCACCAAGGGCTGGACCTTCAAATTTCTTTAGGCACCTAGTGAGATTTCAGTGGGAGTCAGGTGTCCATCTGCAGCGTTAGGTGCCTAAACGCCCTCAAAACCCAAGCCCTAATAGCACAAGCTAAAGGGATAAGTTATCTGTAAGTACTAAGCTGCTGTGGTTGAGGTGCGGTGAACACACACATACATTTACTTGCCCAGGAATATTTGGGCTGCCTTCTCTAGAAACCTTGGAGAAACCATGGAACATAAATCCAGGCTAAGGACGGACTTCCTGGCTGGTAAAGTTAAAGGAAAGGAATGCCTGACCTCCAGCCAGCCTAGTCAACAATGAAAGCTTCTCTTCTGGAAATCGCTTCTAGCCCCTTGTCCCCTCCCTCTCAGATTCATAGATTTTAACGCCAGACAGGACTATTATGACAATCTAGGGCTCATCGGCACTGGGAAACTTACCAAAAGAGGAGTACGGTACTAGTTTGGTATAAGCCCCCATGTGAATTTACTCTGGAATGAGGGTGCATGCGGGAGCTGATAACTATTCCAGAATAGCTCTTTCGGTTCATTTCCAAGTGTAGACAAGCCCGGAGTCTGACCCCCTGTATAGCTCAGGCCAGAGAATGTCGCACTGCCACTCCTGCATCCAGCCGTAATGCCTGATTGCACTCAAGCGTGTCTCTTAAAGACATCCGGTCTTGATTTAAAGACTTCCAGTGTGGGCGAGTGTCCCCCGGACCCCAGGTTAGCTCTTCCAAGGGTTAGCGATTAAAACGCAGCATCATTTCTAGTTTGAATCTGTCCAGCTTCAGTTGCTAGCTGGATCTTTGTGCTAGTTCAGAGCCTCTGTGGCCCATCCAGTCCTTGGCCTCTGCTGGCGCTGGCCACAAGGAGAGCCAATTGGTGCCAGTCCTAGTGTTGGGGTTTGTGTGCCGTGGGTGACCAGGATGAGTCCTGCCAAACTCATTCCATATAGGCCACTGACCAACCCTGGCTGACATGCACCATGGGTTTAACCCTTCACTGGCTATAACTAGACCTTGCTTTGGGGGGCTGACTCAGCCTGGGAAGTGACGTTAAACACACCTGGGAGGGACGGATTTATTTCTGTTTGCTCTGAGCCTCTCCCTCCCCTGGCGCATCACAAAGCTGGACACTACCTAGCAGTCTCCGCAGCGGCTGATGACCATGTGGGACACTAGGGAGCCCTCTGGATTTGGGGCTGGAAGACCCAGTTCCCCAGGATGTCCTTTACAGCAAGCCGGGTTCAGAAAAGCATAAACTTTGCAGCAGGCTAGTGCACGCCCAGTTAAACAAGAGACAAGGGGTTCCAACTGGCAGACCTGAGACCTTGGTCTGGGCAAGCTGAAACAGTTGGTCTAAATAAGGGTTGGGTGCTGGGCATCGTGATCTGTCACGCCACCATGCAGGTAAGGAATGTCGGGCATTTATACACAGAAAGGGCCGGGGTGAATCCAGCAGGCATTCACTGCCTACGTAGTTTTTTGACACCAGCTATTGGGTGCTGCTTGGCAGTCTCGGTTCCGGTAATAAATTCATTTGTTTGTTCCTGCTGGGAGCGGAGACAGCTTCCTGCAAAATCCTTAGGGCTGTTACAGTTTCTGTCCAGTCCTGGGGTCTCCATGCTACCCTGGGTAAACAGTTCTTTATGGATCCTATTGCGGAGTGTAGGTTTTAACCCTGAGCTCACTGCCCATTCGCCATGCAGATTTTCACCAGTGAGTGTAATTGGCCAGTGGAACAATTTACCCAGGGATTTTTTATTTGGATTGTGGTGGTGTCACAGACCATGCCCCTTAGTTCCAGGTGCTGTGCAAACAGAGAGCAAAGAGACAGAACCTGCTCCGGAGAGCTCACAAGCGAAGTCATAACACCCAGCTCTTAACAGATCCCTCTCCAGCAGTAGAGCCCAGAGTGTTTTACTGAGGGCTCTGGATGAAAAGGAATTAGTGTGCACAGTGCATAATTAATCTGTGGAACACCCTGCTGCAGGATATGGTTAAGGTCAGTACTTTAGGAGATTTTAAAGGATTATCCATATAAACATCTGACAACACTCCCCCATCATTAGAGGGATGATGCCCTTTTAAATAAAGCATACTGTGAGCTGCAGGCCTGGCTTACCTGCTCACGAAAGGATCGATGCCACCCCAGCCTGATGGGCTGGACACACCTGGGCTGGGTCCATCTCTCCTGAAAGGGGTCAGTTGCCCTGTGCCAGCTGCAACTCCTCCCCGCCCCCCATGCTCCCGGGCACGAGCTAACCACTAACTGGCAGGGGGCCAGGAAGAAACTTCCCTAGGGGCAGGTGAGCCTGTCTTGGGATCTTCCTCCTTCTTTCGAAGCAGCCAGTGCTGAAGAGATGGGATACTGGGCCATTAATCCAGTGATTTAGTGGGCCAGAAATACACCCTAATCTCTCTCTTGTAAGTGGGGAAGGGAAATGACCTTTGGGTAGAACAGCCTGCACTGAGCTAGGACACAGAAGAGCTGAGTTCTGTTCGGCTGGGCACCTCCCCTCTCTGTGCCTGTTCCCCTCTGGCCTCCCTAGTTCCATCCCGAGCTCCTCTCTCTGTACAGCACCGAGCACAGCGGGGCCCTGAACCCACGACCAGGGCCCCTAGGCGCTACCGCAACCCAGAACACTAACCTGGCTTTGAAAGTGCCACCCAGACAGTAATGCGCTGAGCCTGGCAGCCCCCTGTGAAGCAGAGAAATATCACCCCGGTTTGCAGCCCGGGGGGTTAATTCCCTGTGTGGTTTGGGGGGGTGTCTGGGGGAAGGGAAGAGAAAACAAATCCTCGGGGCGAGCTGTCTCTTTAAGAGGGCGGTGGCGCCCCACCCTGCCGAGCCTGGAAATCTTCCTCGTCTACAAGCCAGCTCAGTCGCTCCGAGGGCCGGGCCAGGCAGTATGGGGCCAGAGGGGAGCCCCGGCTGGTGGCCCCCCGGGACCTAGCCAGGGGGTGAGCTAGATCAGCAAAGGCCCCCGGGCTGCATGGGGGGGCTCCGGGAGCAGCTGCCCCTTCGCACCCGAAGAAGGACCCCAGTAAATTCCGCCCAGCCCCGGGTGATCACCTAGGACCTGCCGGATGCGCCCCGGGCCCCAGCCGCTGGAGATGAAGTGGGGGAGCGTTTACACGCCAGTGCCTGTTCCTTTCTCCCACGCCGCATTGGCGTGCTGGTGCCACTGGATCGGCGCTCCAGGAGATAAAGGTGCCTTGAAAACCGGGCAAGGGGGAGGGATTGTTCCGGCCAGCTCCCTGCCAATAGAAGATCCCAGCCGGCAGCACCTTATGTAAGAAAACCCCCAGACTTATCGTCGTGCTTTTCTCCGGAGACCGCAGAGCGCTTTGCAAAGGTGAGTCGTGTTATCCCTGCCCTAGAGATGGGGGAAACTGAGGCGCGGAGGCAGTGCCTTGCCCCAGGTGTCCGCTCTGGGAATAGAAGCCTGTCTCTTGACTAGGGTGACCAGACAGCAAGTGTGAAAAATCGGGACAGGGGGTGGGGGAGGAATAAGCCGGGCCGGCTTTAGGCTGATTCCCCGGAATCGGGCCCAGTGGGTAAGAGGGCCCCGTGCCCGCACCTAAGAGGGCCCCGCGCCTTAGGCTCACCTGGTGGCAGTCCGCTCCGGCGGCATTATGGCGGGGGGGGGGGGGTCCGCTCCTGGGTCTTCAGTGGCATTTTGGCAGCGGGGGGTTCTTCAGTGTCGCGGAAGATGCGGAGTGGAACCCCCCCGCCGCCAAAGTGCCGCCGAAGACCCAGACCGCGGAATCGGGCCCCGCAGGTCCTAAAGCCGGCCCTGGGTAATAGGAACCCATATAAAAAAAAGCCCCAAATATTGGGACTGTCCCTATAAAATCGGGACATCTGGTCACCCTACTCCTGACCCCCAGTGCGGTGGGTTCTCCTGCCTCCAGTCGAGTGCTAACTGTCTAGTGAAGAAGGCCCTGCAGCCTCACGCTGTTCATCTGATGTTCAGCCTGTGTTTCCTTTCCTGTCTCCCCTGGTGTACCAATCTCGGGTCCTCTAAAGCCATGGTATTCGCTTTCAGACAGCTGGCAACTGAAATCATGTTCCCTATTAGATGGCCTCTCTGGACAAATTATGCATGTTTACTAGACTCCTCAATTGTCATGTAATGATCTAATCGACAAAACTTGTATCCACATGGCTTGAGAGCTGTGATGAAAAAATCTCCTGATCACATAACACTTGTGATATAGAAATATTGGTGCTAATATTTTCCACCTCAACGGCTTCCCCCTCCTGCCCCCCAGAAACTGGGTTTTTGACTAAATAGCTTTAGCAAAAAGTGTCGGCTTTATGCAGACAAGGCTGATGTTTTTGGTTTGATTTTTTTTTTTAAATCACATGGGGCAGGGACTGGTTTTAGGAAGGTAACGCAGGATTTTAGGTGTGAAAGTTGAATCTAATGGACGTGAACTCTTCCCTGGCATTTTTTTATTCATAACATAATTGTGTCTAGTGGCTTTCATTTCCGAGGACTCTGGGAAGCTTTATGGGCTTATAATAATAATATAATATAATATATGGAGATATACCTATCTCATAGAACTGGAAGGGACCCTGAAAGGTCATTGAGTCCAGCCCCCCCTGCCTTCACTAGCAGGACCAAGTATTTATTTTTGCCCCAGATCCCTAAGTGGCCCCCTCAAGGATTGAACTCACAACCCTGGGTTTGGTAGGCTAATGCTCAAACCACTGAACTATTCCCCCCCCTAGAGTTAGTGGTATTGGATTTTAGCCAGGGCATTCTGAACTATTGTGAAACTAGACAGGACATTACTATTTATTCCAAGTGTTTTATGGCAGCATTGTAAGATACTGAAGCAAGACACCGCCCCCACGTCACTGCCCAGCGTAATTTACTATGATGGTGTGAACGGTGTTGCAGTGTAAATTAACGAAGCTGAAGTTGAAGTAAAGCTACCTGATATTGTGACCGGGGCATTGGGATGCTATCAGAATTTCGGGAGGGACCCCAATGTATATGTGCAGTAGCTAGCACATGGCTCATCCCTGCCCCCAAACTGCTTACCCTCTAAAACAGGGGTGGGCAAACCTTTTGGCCCAAGGGCCACATCTGGGTATGGAAATTGTATGGCGGGCCATGAACGCTCACTGAAATTGGGGATTGGGGTGTGGGAGGGGGTGAGGGCTCCGGCTGGGGGTACAGGCTCTGAGGTGGGGCAGAGGATGAGGGGTTGGGGGTGTAGGAGGGTGCTCCAGGCTAGGACTGAGGGGTTCAGAGGGCGGGAGGGGGATCAGGGCTGGGGCAGGGGGTTGGGGCGCGGGAGGGGGTCAGGGTGCAGGCTCCGGGCGGCGCTTATCTCAATCAGCTCCTGGAAGCAGCGGCATGTCCCCCCTCCAGCTCCTACGCAGAGGTGCGGCCAGGCGGCTCTGCGCGCTGCTCCGTCCACAGGTGCTGCCCCCACAGCTCCCATGGTTGCCGGCCAATGGGAGCTGTGAGGGCGGCACTTGGGGTGGGGGCAGCATGCGGAGTCCCCTGGCTGCCCCTACGCGTAGGAGTCAGAGGGGGGACATGCCGCTGCTTCCGGGAACCACACAGAGCCACAGCACATGGGGAGTGGGGCAAGCCCCCGACCCCGCTCCCCAGCGGGAGCTCAAGGGCCGGATTAAAATGTCTGGAGGGCAGGATGTGGCCCTGGTGTAGTTTGCCCACCCCTGCTCTAAAAGCATGTACCAAGTGTAAAACAAACAGTAGGGCAGGTGAGGGATACAGGCGAAGGGCAAGCTTGGACAATTACACAGGCGATGTAATCTGTTTTTTTCCCCTTCTCGTTCCACTCCAGAGGTGGCTGCATTTCAGTGATAGTTTAAGGGCTTGTGTACACACGATACAGCTGTTCCTGAAGAGTGCCAGGTGCCGGATAGTCCTATTCCAGAACAAGAGTGCCTTGTCCCTGTTTAGCTTAACCTCTGGGTTAAAACACTTATTCTGGAATAAGAATCAGCGCATGGAGTTATTCAGGAATAAGCCCTAGTTAATGCTTCAGCCTGTTGGGCTCTCTGAGTGTTTACAACTTGCCGTCCTCAGGATTTCTATTGCAACTTTCTTCCCTAAGGTGAATGCCCTCCCCAGACTTGTAAAAGCACAAAGCGCAGCTGGATTTCAAGGCCAGAGATGATCGGTATATGGCTCTGTATCTTGACCTCCTGCATAGCACAGACCAGAAAATCTCACCTGTGATTTTTTTGAACCTGCAGATGATCAGGAAATCTTTAACTTTGTTTTCAGTCAGTTCATCTTGACCCATTTTTGGGATTTTAATTAAAAAAAAAAATAGCCAAGTTTTTGGCCAAAATGTCAGTGGTCAACGTGAAGTTGTCAAGGTGGGGGGTGGGAGGGGAAGTGTTGTCTACTCAGTTTCCCATCGCTTTTACCAAAACAAGTCTTGAACGAAACACTTCAACCTGTTCCAATCAAACACCGCAACTTCTGGATCCACTCGAGCGGGTCTCCGAGAGACATCCCGTCTCTCTGTAAAGACGCCAAGGGTTTGTCTTCGGTGCGTTGTCACGTTGAGCTATGGAGGTTTGCCCTAACCCGACTCCCATCCACACACAAATCACTCACTTGAGTTGTAAGGAGGTGCTTTTGATTTGAGCTAGGTGGCCCGTGGGCTGGCGTGGGAGGAGTGAGGAGTTTGGTGCTCAGGTGATGAATGCAGGGAGGTTGTAGAACTGGAGAACCAGGGGTTTAGATGTCGGATTCGTCGTGTAGCTCGAGTTCAAGCGGACTAACTCATGTTATCTGTTGCAGTGAAGACGCGGCCCGAGTGATGGAGAAGCCATGCCTTTCTTTCTGGCGTAGCCTCTTCCCATGTGACTGAGCGGCGGGGACACAGAACGCCGTCGGCAGCATTTTCCATCGCGAGTATCCGGGTATTGACCTGGCTTCCTTGAGGTTTATCTTCCTCCCATTTGTACTTTCTGAAAGTCTCCCTCTGGCTGCCATGTTCCTCTAGCATTGCACAGAAGATGGGGGGCGGGGGTTGGTCCGGGAAGCAAGTCTGAGATGCAGCGTGTCTCCTCGACATGTGTCTAGCATGGGTGGCCAGTGGATTCATCTTGTGTTGCTAATTGCGTCCAGTAAAATGCTGCTTCTCTCTTGATCTAGGACTGTCTGGGGCTGGCATGGAAGGGACGGCTGCCCCCTGCAGTGCTGTGCTCAGCTCCCCATCCGTCACCTGAGGGGCAGCGCCTCTTGCTCTGTAAGTGGCATTCTCTCCCGTTGTGGAGCCAAGTTCTGTTAACTGGGGAGGGGTGGGGGGTTTAAAGTGAACAGGATCACTGGCCCCATGGGATTGTGGGAAGTGAAGTGCCGGATGGGAGTGGCCAATGTCTAACCTCTGTCCAGGATCACGGTGACCTAATCGAGAATGGTAGGCGATGGGGGATACTGAACTAGATGGACCTGTCTCTGAGGCACAGAGAGATGGGAGTAGAGGCACCATTGGCTTGTCCTGCGTGGCAGGAAGGAGGTGGAGGGAATAAAGTGGGGTAATAGCTGGATCTGGTAGGGCAGGTGGATGGGGGTGGGGTCCCGGGGGGCGGGACTACAGGCCGATGGTTTGTTCCAGGATGCTGGACTGGATGTCTCAGTAGCTAGGGATAGTGCTGCTGTAAATGTCCAATCCGCAGAGAGTACCGTCGGTAACTCAATGATGCAGTGTTCTCCTCAGCCAGTTGAACGACTGTACCATGGGGCGGTAGAGGTCTCTGCTCTATAGGTTAACGTTAGCGTGTGGACAGGTCTCTGAAAGTAACGAGGGCGTTTCACAGGACGTCCTTCTCTCTCGATCTTTCAGGTGAACAAACATGTGAAGAGAAGACCATGCGCCCACTAGCTGGGATGTGCATAGCTTTGTGCGTGGTGATCGTGGGACTGGCAGACGGGGCCGACCCATGTCTTGTCACCACCGACAACAAAGTCGCCATGTGCAAAGGTCAGAACCTGAACCGCGTTCCCCAGCACCTTCCCCGCACCCTGCTCAGACTGGATCTCTCGTATAACAGGCTCAAAGAGATCGCCGCAGGGGACTTCTCAGCGTTGACCCAGCTGCAGAGCTTGGACCTGGGATACAACAACATCTCGCGCATCTCGGCAGATGCTTTCGCCTCCAATGTCCTGCTGGAGGAACTCAGCCTGTTCAACAACTCCCTGCGCCGGATCCCCTCGCCGGCCCTGAAGCCTCTGAGGAAACTGAGGCGGCTGGAGATGTCCAACAACTTGTACCTCCGCTCAACTCTGGACGAGGTCTTCAGCACTCTGAGGAACCTGCAGGAGTTCTCCATGGGCGGGTCTCTGATCCAGACGGTCGGCAAGTGGGACTTTCTCCCGCTGAAGAATATAGCCTTGCAGAAGTTTGCCCTGAAGACAGCGTCCAGTCTACTGGAGTATCAAAACGGGGCATTCTCGGTGCTCAACACCACAGCCCTGTGGTGTGACATAGCCCTGGACAAGAATCCCAAGGCCTTACCCATGATTCTGCGGGACCTGAGGGGTAAGCCGCTGCAGTACCTCCGCTTCCGCAACCTCTTTGAGTTCACCTACTACACTGAGTCCACAGATCTCTTCTCCGGCTTGGCCGA